TATATATATATATATATATATATATATATATATATATATATATATTCATAAGCAATGTATTCTATATGCTATTTTTTATATTTTATAATGTTTTATGTAAGTGATATCAAGTTATATACTCTCTCTCCAATTTGCTTTTCCTCTCTGGATTATTTAAATTGATCCATACAGGTCTTTTATTTTAAATGCTATATAATAATATTACATAATAGAATTATATCATGATTTATTTATCCTGTGCCCTACTGATGAACATTTTAGTTTGTTTCTATTTGTCTAGGTTATATAACTGAATGTGACATGGAAAGACCACAGGATATGTGCATCTTCAAATAACTATACTAATTTATACCATACCAGCAGTATATGCTAGTTCCTCCACTTTGTTCGTTATACTTTTCCCTGCTCTACAAAGAAGTAGAACCAGTTTAGCAGCCCTAGTTGAGGAAGACCCTGGGGAGAGGGTGCTGGCCTGAGGAAGTCCAGGCCCAGTGTCAGGGTGACTATTGACTACCCACAGTGACTGACCTCCCCCACTTTCTTGTCTCACAGGTGCCTTCCAGTTGAGCTTAGTGAAGGCAGATGTACCCACAGTATCCCCTCAGGAGGTCACACTTGTTGCACTGGTGAGCAGTCTGCTCATGGTGTTTACCCTGGCCTTCCTGGGGCTCTTCTTCCTCTACTGCAAGCAGTTCTTCAACAGAAATTGCCAGCGTGGTAAGGGTAGCTGCTTCACGTATTACATGAATCAGGAACAAGGTTCTAACTAGCAGAAGAGAGGAATTTCCTGGGGTTGAGAGTTAATGGACCTTCCCTACAGTGCTGAAATATCTGGGGTGGCAATAGAATGCACAGGACTTCAGAGATGATTGAGGCTGACCCTATGAGTTTATAAGACCTGGTTCTTTAAGGTGTGGTGATTCATAAAGGGCTACAACATTATGGGAAAACCCTTGGGAAAGGCATCTGAAGTCCTAGTCCAATCTACCTCTAAATCACTGTGTAACTTTAGATAAGTCATCTAGCTTCTTTGGACCTCTTTCTCCTTAATCTTTAAAATGAGAGATGAAGTTGATTTCTAAGTTCTTTTCCAATTAGTTATATCTACTAATAGGTATAGATTCTGGAGCATGTCAGGAAAAGAGGAAGGCTGGCTGGAATGAGACATGACTATAATAAAAGTGGGTGAGGTCTCAGGCAATGGTTATCAGTATAGTAGTATACCAAATGTGGTAACTGAGAGCCCAATGTCCAGAGGAATTGGCAAACTTAGACATTTTTCCTCAGACAATAATGATAACCAGAGCTCTGGCCCAGCCCATAGGAGATGGCCATGTGAAATTTTAGATGGAATGTCATATTTAAAATCAGGAGTAACATCATGATCTATTTTCAGCACAAGTCCAGCCATTAGCCAAGAATATGAGACAAGAATGCCAGGTCACTGAGGGAAGATATAGGGGAGGTGAGATGGTGGCTGGCCAAGACCAGAGAAGGGTTTAGATCTTTAGTCAATAGTACTGAGGTTCAGTGCAGCTTCAGTGCCATCAAGGGAGCTGAGAGCTGGACAGAGACACCAAAATAGGAACCCAGGCTAGTAAGCAGAGTTGATTTAGTAAGGAAAGAGGAGGACACATTCTACTAGATACACAGGTGCTAAGGACTCCTCCTCAGCCCACTGTATATTGGGTCCAAAGCAACACAACTTTTTTCAACCTCTCTGTTTGTGTGGAAAGATTCTGCTTATATAGGCCTACCTTGGTTACTTTGGATCTAGGGTCTGCCAGATGATCTTCAAAAAGCTTAGAAGATATGTTTGGCTCTACCTCTCACTTAAGTGGAGGTGAATCTAGGATTTCAGGCGATGCAGGGCACAAGGGCAACACTGTTATCCCTTTATGACCCTTCTCAAACTCTAATTCTCTCTCCTCTACTCTCTGGTGTCTCCTGGAACATTGTGGCTCAGGGTGGATCATCCTGTCTCTGACTTTGGAGGCCACTTTCTCAGATAAGAGCTGTTGCCCAGTCCCTGGGCATGGGCATGAAACATGGGAAATGAAGCATTTGGGCCCCAGGGCCCGGAAAGAAGAAGATGAGGCAACATCTGAGAGCTGCCTGTCTCCCTCCTCCTGCCTCAGGAGAAGAGAAATGGGTAACGCTTCTCTGCTCGTCCTCTGTCCTCAAGATAATAATGCAGTACCCTTTTCTGGGGATACGAGGGCAGGCAGCTCCCTCAGGGTCTCCACAGGGGAAATAAGATTAGACATTTTCTCATTTATCAGGAGGTGTTTTTCAGGAGTCACTGACTTACATGAATACTAGGGTTGTATAAGGGAGATGAATATGTGAATTGGATCCAATATAAGGTTCATTAGAGAGGAGTAGAGACTGTGGCAAACTGAATAGTTCATCCCCTGTCTAAAGAGGAATCTACTACTCAGTTTCAGCTGTTTGTTACCATGTAGGAATATTCAATGTTTCAAGATCTTCTGAATTTTCAAGAGAAGCCAAAACTCTGGATTTTTATATGAAATAGTTTTAAGTTATGGCAATGAGTTATAATTAAAAAGTACCACAACCACAATGCAGGGGTCAAACAAACACACATCCCATAGGCTCTCAGTTTGTAACCTGATGTTGAATCAGACTTATGCATGAAAGGTGTTTTAATTTTCTATCACTGCCAGAACAAACTACAACAAATTCAATGGCTTAAAACAACACCCATTTATTATCTCACCATTTCCATAGATCAGAAGCTTTGTAAGCTTGCCTGGATCTCGACTCAGAGTCTCACTAGGCTGAAATCAAGGTGTTGCCGAGGCTGCATTCATTTCTGGAAGATCAAGAGGTTAATCCATTTCCTTGATCATTCAGAAAGGTGGAAGAATTCAGTTCCTTGCAGTTATAAGGTTGAGGTTCCATTTCCTTGCTGACTGTCTGCTGAGAACCATTCCCAGTTTCTAGACACTACCCACTCTTTGACTTATGACCCATTTCCATTTTCAAAACTAGCAATGGTGGTCAAGTCCTTTTCCTTTCACATATCTGATACTCTCTCTGACTCTTCTGCCTTCATCTTCCCCTTTTAAGGACACATGTCATTACATTGGGCCCACCTGGGTAATCCAGGATAATCTACCTATTTTAAGGTCCATAATCTTAAATCCACCTGCAAAGTGCCTTTTGCCATATAACACAACATATACACTGGCATAACACCAGGGAATAAAGATCATGTCTGGTGTGGGTGTTGTTAAAATCCTGCTTCCCACAAAGGATTTCTCTTTCTCTGGAGAAATTGACAATTTTCCCTGATCCACCACCAGGTAGCCTTAATCTGATACCCCAATGTAAATATGTTTCTCAACTGTGTCACCTCAGCCTGGTGCTAGGTGCTCTGGTCCCCAGGGATGGGAGGGGGAGCACTAGTTCCCAGATCTTTCCTGATTTTGTGCTCAGGACCAGGTGCCCCGCTAAGAAGAGCCCCTGCCTTTGGGTGACTCAGTGGCTTTCTGCTTCAAGTTTCAGGAGGTTCGCTGCAGTATGAGGCTGACGAGGCAGCGGAAGAGGAATCTCTCTTCCCCATGCCACCTGGCCAGGAGACCAGTCCTGAGTCCCCACTGAGTGAAAGCATCTTTGAGACCCAGGCACTTAACCCCATCCTGGATGACGACTGCAGCTCGACTCGTGGCTTCCCCACACAGGAGTCTTTTACCTTGGCTTCCTGTGCCTCAGAGAGCCACTCCCACTGGGTCCACACTCCCATCGAATGTACAGAGCTGGACCTGCGAAAGATTTCCAGTTCTGCTTCCTATACTGGAGCTGAGACCTTGAGGGGGAACACAGCTGAACACTCTGGAGACAGACTGGAGCTCACTGTACCCTTTGAAGTACCCAGCCTTTCACTCTACTGAGGTGAGCTGGAAAGGTAGGGTAGAAAGACCAGAAATTGGGGACCACCCCCAAAAGGAATTATCCCTTGGAGTACTGTTGTTCAGTATGGCTAGTGTCAGAGGAACAGCAAGCTAGGAACACTGGTGGATGGAGGGACAACTGTGATAATGTTAATCTTTTAAGCCAGTCAGTCATACATCATACATCTGGGCCTACAGCTGTCAAGGAACTGGCCAGGTTGACATGACACCAGTTTTTCTATCCTGGCCTTTTGCAATCTCTCTCAGAGCCCCACTGTCTAATAGTTATATTCAGTTATCTCCCATCATGTATTCAAGCACCAAGGTACAGTGGGAAAATATACAAACCTTGGCATCTGGAAGCCTTATATTTCAAATCTACCTCCATTCCTTAATATTTGTGTGAAGCTTGTGTAAATCCCTTCACCTCTCTGAGTCTCAGGTCCTTAATCTGTGAAAAGTAGGAAATACTATTCACCTTATATTGTGAGAGTTGAATGAGAAATGCATGTGCAAGTGCCTTTTATAGTGTCTAATGCATTAGAGGTGTTTAAACCATGTTAGTTTGTCTTTGCCCCCAGTCACAATTTATATTGGGTTGGCCAAAAAGTTTGTTCGGGTTTTTCCATAACGTCTTATGGGAAAACCCAAATGAACTTTTTGACCAACCCAATACATCCATACATATACACTACACTCATCTGGTCTTCATAACATACCTTTATGATAAGAAGGTTACACTTTATAGAGGCAGGAACTGAGACACAGAGAGGGAAAGTGATTTGCTTAAAGTCACAGAGCATTTCAGTGGCAGAACTGGGTTAGAGCACAGGTTTTGGAGCTCCATGTAAGTAACAAGGGGCAGTATGAAGCATGAGGGTGGATTCCTATTTTTCAACTAACCAATTACTTTCACCACCCATTTCCATATTTCTCCAGCTATGATATTGTCCAGGTCCCCCAATGACTCCCGCTCCCTATATCTTACCTAAGAAAATATAAACAATATGTAGGTGAAAGCCAAGACTCCTATTAAACCAGTCATCCTAGATACCTTCAAGGTCATCTAGGCCAACCTCTCTTCCAACTCCTCCAATCCATTCTTGAGTCCCTTTTATAATATCCCCAAGAAGTGTTTGTGTCATCCTTGCTCACATACTTACAGTATCAGAGAGCTCACTACTGCCCAACATGTATTGCAGCTATGACTGGTGGATTTGAGCTCAATGTAAAGAAAACCTTTCTGTCTTCTTATAGTAACCACCCTTGGGTCCTGCTCTGCTCCTCAGGCCACACAGACCTCATCTGCTTCCTGTGTCTTGTGATAGCCCTGAAGAAGTCTAAAGATAGCATCTCCTCTCTGGAAAGTACCACTTTGGGTTCCGTTAAAGTATGGGGGGCTTAAAACTGAACCCAGTTTCATGAGGAATTGTCTCACCAACATAGAGTAGGGTAGAACTGTCATCATGTCCACCCCACACAAGTGATGTTTTTCTGCTATTATACCTTAACCACTGGCCTAAAACCATTTTTTGAGGGATGGGAAGAGGAAGGAGCTAGTGAGATTGCCCCATAGGTTTCTAACTTGCTCTGCTCCCTCCCTAGGTCTCTTGGGCTCCTGGCAGCCCAGTCGTTCTCCCTGGACTCTCCTGCCTTGTTCCTATACCACAACAGCAGCAGGGGCATAGGATGTGGTATCCACAACAGCCTGTACTCTACAGACGGGGCACATCCTATCCCATCCCACCAAAGGATTGATCCTTCATCATTTTCCCAAGACTGACCAGCAGCATTTTTTGCTTTCCTATCCTAGATAGCCTGGAGAACCAGATTCCCCAGTCATGGGACTACCGGACATATTCCTAGCTCAGCTTGATTATAGAGAGGAGGGAAGGGGATGGCAATGAATGGGGTAGAGTTTTACTGCCTGCATCTTTGGTCAGGTGAATCTGAAGGGGGAGCCTCTCAGTACCCTATTGATACATCTACCTAGCACTTTAGGGACAAAATCAAACTCTTCCCTCTTTCACTCCTCTGCACTGCCCCCCCCTCCCCAGTACACACACACACACACACCTACACACATCTTAGGAGAGGCCTGAAACCTTGATTCCCCACATATCTCTTAGACTTCTGTGGCTGTGACAATCACGGAGCTAACCCCTTTGCCCCCTGGGGTCTTCCTCTCCACTTATAGGTTTCTTACCTTCTTTAGTGGGGATACAACTAAGCATCTTTTTGACTCTTAAAATGGTACTTCCTAAAGTTCCTTTTATCTTATTTCTCTTCTTTTCTTGCCTCTTTTGTCCCTTCCTGGTACCTTGTCTTCTTAAGCCCAAGGCTGAGCCTCTAGATCCCAAGGGCCAAATTCAGAGCTCAGAGCTTTCATCTTTGGGGTGACCATGAAATCCCTGAGATCTAGTGGGGGACACTTAGGAGCTAAGTGTCTGGTGTGGGTGTTGTTAAAGCCATGAAGCCTGCCCTAGGGTTGCTCAGGGACCATTGGTGCTTCCTTGGTTTAGAGAAAAACAATCAATTGCTGAGCCCTCACCACCAGTTTCACATGCTTCTCAGAATAAAGTGGAACTTCTCTCTCCATGGCTGATGCCACAAGGCAGATGAGAACATCAAGGCTCAGATGTGGGCACCATGGATTGTTTTTAAGTCTCCCTTATGTCCATAATGGGCTACTTGGACTGATACCCACTTCCTCACTGTGGGTCATATTTTGAAAGAAAAATTGCCCAGATGAGCAGAGCAACTCTCTCCTTTGTTTGGGAGCAACCTATATACTTCAGAATGTTGGATGTGACTTAATTTGTGAAAACCAAGACTGTATCTTAGGGTGGGAATGCTGGAATTTACTACGTATATGTGCTACACTTTACAGTTTGCAGTGTGTATTCACAGCAATCATCTCATTGGATCTTTATACACACCCTGAGGTGGGCAGGGCAAGAATTACCATCTCCAGGTTGCAGATGATGAAACTGAGGCTCAGAAATGGAAGGTGACTGCACTCAGTAATGTATGGGGTAATTATCAAGGCTAGGGTCATCTCCAATATCTTGAAATCTTCATTTTCTAGAAGACAGTGTTTTAAAGTAGTAGCTTTTCTGGCATATCTGTTCCAGAAAACAACACTTTTTGGAAGCAAAAGGGGTGGAGGGACAAATAAGGCCTTTATGCCTGAATGTGAATGAGGTAATATCCTTGCCTACAATACCAAACCTATTCTCTCCCCCTCCCATCAGCTCCCTTACTCCCACCCTGTAGCCAGCCTGGATGTATATTCTCTGCCAGATCTGACCCCAGTGGAAAGGTAAGAGACTTTCCATTCAGCACTGTCTCTCAAGAGATCAAAAAGTGAGAAGAGCTGCAAGGTCAGACAAAACCCTTTCTATCTGTCTATCTTATCTCCTTTTGCCACTGGGGGTAAGAAAGAAGGTATAAAGGTTGGAGCCAGTAGGAGTATCCATCCTACTTGTCCTCCCTCCTGTATTCCTCTGTTCAACTTAAGAGTCTCTGATCTTAGTTTGGGCAATGACTTGAGACTTTAACTTTAAAGGTGGGAGGGGGACAAATATCCCATCTTTAAAAGCCTCTCCCAGGTAGATTACAGATATTTGAGCAAATCTTTCAATTATAACACTTTAGTGTTTTACATTCTAAAAAAATTCAGTCATACATGCCTAATTTAAAGATGAGGAACCTGAGCCCTAGATAGGAGTAGTAACTTACCCAAAGCAATTCATATTTTGGAAAGGCAGCGTGCTCCACACTCCCAACCCCAGACTGAAGTGTGGATTCCATGGCTGAGGATAGAGCCAGGGAAGGACAGTTTGAGCAGAAACTGCTCTTGGCTATGGCAGAAGGACAGGCAGAGGTGTTGGAGGGCACTAGTTATTTCTATCCACTAGACACTGCCTAAATAACCCTTAAAATATCATTAAGGAACATAGGGAAGAGCAGGAGATTGAATAAGGCAATTCATCTCCACCGCCAGAAAAAACAGCTGGCCCCATAGTCTAAGTGCTACGGAGGCAGCAGCGTAGTCTTCCACTGAAAAATAGCACATGACTTCATCCACATCCAGGATGGAGAGGGTTTCTTTGTTTTTTTGTTTTTTGGGGGTTTTTTTTTTTGGCTTTACTCTCCCCTATAGCTCTTACCTCCTATGGCCTACAAGTTTTCCCCTCCCTTCTTCCAGATCCCTCTGGACTCACCACACTCCCTGGGTTAGCTGGAAGATCTTATGCATGTTTGAAGAGTGATGGTCCTGTGATGCAGCACAGGCCAGAGCAAATAATTTCCCTGTGGATCTCCTGGGCCTCACCCTTTATTTGAAGTGCTATAACTCTCCACCTCCGGCAGGGAGCCGGGCTGGAATTTGCCTTATTGGAACCTTACGGAAAATTTCTGAGCCAAGGTGACCTTCCCTCTGGGGCCTGATTTCCCCAAATTACCTCCCAGCAGTCCTCCAAAGATACCCTCTAATATACTTAGGAGTAGCTGAGTGGGGAGAGGAAGGGAGCCTCACTGCCACTTTCTACTAACATGTCAGTTGGATCCCAGATTTCCCACCACCCCTTCCCATTTGATTCTTTCTGAAGTTTGTTTTTGCTTTAATTCCTACCTATACATCTCATGACCAGGAAGGAACAAGCAACTTGGAGGCTGTATTCTTCTTTATTATCTGGCTATCTTTTTGAGGACTGTACAGCTAGTTCTGTCCCACAAGTACTTGGTGGTTAATTAAGTACATTAAATTGCATGTGCACTTCATTAGGACCTAGCCCTGGCAAATGAATGCTCTCTACCACAAAACCTCTACTTTCAGGATTTTATTAAATGCATCTTTGGGGAGAGTTCATCTACAAATATTGATTAAGGGCTCCGGGGACAGCCCATTGGTCAGGGTGCTAAAAGCACCTGGGAAAAAGTAAACAGGCCCCATTGTACTGGACTGGGGATTAGAAGCAATTGAATTACTAGCCTGCACCAAGCAGCCTGACTTAACACAGGTATTGGCAAATACGTGTGAGCCAAGTGTTTAGGCCTTGATCTTTAGGTTCTCTGTTCTTTTCTTTCTGGGACAGTTTATTCTTATCTCACTGGCTCTAATTAGTCATGTCTGCAGCTTCTGGTAGGGCAAGAACTAGTATCCAAACAGAAGATGATTCAGCTTGGGCAGGCCTTAGGTGTTCAAAGGTCACCATGTGCCTGGCAGTGGTTCAAGCCCAAGTCTAAGATTGCTGTATCTATGGCAAAGGTAGTGATTTTGTCACAGTCATAATGACAATAATATTATGATAAAATGTTACAGCCAGCTTTATTCATTGTTCCTGCTCTAGACTTTATAATTTACAAAGTTCTTTTATGTTTATGGTCTCATTTCATCCTCACAAACCCCTGAATAAGGTGTTATTATATCCCTTTTGAAGAAAAGTAAAACAGCTCATATTAGATATGTGGCTTGTCAGGCCAGAGATCAGTCTGACCCAAGTCTCCTGATACCCAGACCAGGGCTTTCTCCAGTGTTTCCCCTTAACAACTGCTTTAAGATGGTACAGTTACTATAGTGGCACTGAGGGCAACATTGCAGAAAAAAACAGCAACAATGTAGCAAAATTCCCCAACGGTATATCCATAAACACAATTACTGCAAAGCTCATTGTGAGCCCCATACAAGACAAGAAACTTCCTGGCTAGAATACCCAGCCCAGAATAACTTCTTAGCAATGATATTTTCTGTAGCAATTAAGACAACAGCCTTGGTTGCTGGGGCTACCCCAGTGCACAGGTGTGCCAACCAGGAGCAAGGTCCTCATGGTATGAACATTGTGTGACCATTCCAAGTCATACCCAGCATCACCTTGCTTCTAACTTTCATTCTGAAGTTAAAAAATTGTAGTTAGCAATTGGACTAAGGAAATGTTTTACTTTGCTTTTTAAGATATCTTGGGTAGAGGTGAGGTGAAGCATGCTTGTTTTCCTTATAATTGCTGCTTTGCCATGGCAAATGTCACACTCAAGCATTTGTTCCTGGGGAGTGTTTTTAAATATTTCATTGCTTTTAAAGTATGGGCATCTTTGAGTGCCTTGGTTTCATGTATTTTTTTCTATTTGGGGGTTATTGGTCAGTGGAAGCACAAAGGACATGTGACAGAAAAGTTTTCAACATGTCCCTAAGACTAGAAAATAGTGGAGTTGTCTATATTTGAACTAGCAAAAGAAAGTTGTTCTTGCTTGTAAGGGAGGGGAGGTATTTACTGAGGACGAGTTTAGTTTTTCAGTTTTGTATTTTCTTCTCTGTATATCTGGATTTGGATTTTGACAGGGAGGAGCCTAGGAGAGCAACTTTCTCCTCCAAGGTTCTCAGATCCAGGCTTGGTAACAGTGTCAATACTGTAGCACCCTCTCCACAACACAAACCCTACTATACTGGGAAGATAATCTCTTATGCACCTAATCCCCTGCTCGCCTCACTAAGAAGGTCTCTGGTGTTTTACATTGAATGTAGGTAAATTTTAATTACTTTTCCCTCCTAAATTGGTTATTTATAGAGATTTTGTTCAATCTTGAGCCATATGCATATGTGTCTACTGGCAGAGTTATGTTTTATTTCTGATGGTCTGGAAATATTTCATATTAGCCAATAAAGAAAAATACATCCAAATACCTTGTTTATTCCTCTACTTTCAAATAGCAAGGTGCCTCATTTGGCTGGTGTGTCTTTGCT